TTAAAAATGCGGCTAAAAAACATTCTCAAATTCCATTTTGTATGCAGAGATACAATAAAAAACAACAATTTTGAAAAATTATGAAAAATAAGTGTATAGGTCTTATCAAGCATCCGTAATTTATTAATAAAATTCACTAGTAGAATAGGGTGTTGTATGAATCAGTAAATGGAAATAAATATACCAATATGAATAATTGAGGGCCTAGGCACTACTATCACTACCGCAGTCCTGGACATATGAGAGCAAGCGATAAAGTAATGAAGTATACGATATGTAATTGTAGAACAAAAGAATCTAAATCCCAGCAAAAATGATTCATTAGGCAATTATTGATTATACAAGAAGCTATAAAATTTTACTACCTTTTGGCATAACCTCTTAGCTTCTGTTTCAGCGTGATCACGAATAGAAGCAAGATATGACTCGGGCCTAGAAACAAGCTGAATAAGTATGTTGCTTGGCTTCACATCACCATGCACAATTGACCATGTCGAATGGAGAAAATTTAGTGCAGCGATGATCTGGGCAGCAAGAAGGAGAAGGGAACGCTCAGAAAGCTGACGTCTGATTTCTGAGACATCGTGATCCCCAGACTATACACAAATACAAACAAACAAAATTGAGATAAAGAGTTTTATAACTGTAAATTTTAAGAAATTTGGCAAAAATTTACAGATGCTGAAAAGGATTGCTGGTCCATGACAAGATGCATATCAGGACCATCACCAGATGCATGCCGAGATGCCACAAATCCGGAGGTATCATGCTGTCTATCTGGGTGGAGGTAGTGGAAAAGACTACCCCCAAGACAAAATTCAAGTTGTATGAAGACCGAATCCGCCTCATACCATGAAGAATAGTAGCGGACAATGTTTGGATGCTGAAGAACCGATAGTGCTTGGACCTCATTGTACATCTCTACAGAAGAACTAAAATCAATATAAATTAATTTTATAAATAAGAACAGAATTAAGAAACAAAGCAAATACCTTCCATGTAACCGCTCAATTTCAAATTCGCATCTCGAGCGCTTGAGACAATAAAGGACACCACTTATACGATGTCGTGCTCTGTATAAAACAGCTAAGTGGGTTCGAGAGAGCTCTTCTAGGTTAGAAAACGTGCCAGCAAGTCTAAAGAAGTTAAAGGGAAAATATGACTTACGCTGTGCAATTGAAAATGGGATTAAATATTTTTGGCTTTTCTTCCATGTCCTTTTCATCCGACGGACAGTTCATAAATCTATTTATTGTACGACGATTAATCTCTTCCGGGCAATGTTCGGCATAACGAGCAAAACGTTCAACAGTAGAGACAGTTTGCTGGCTAATATTGAAATACAATTGCATATTTATGTCATCTAACATCGAATGACGCTTTTTGTGGCAATGCAGAGAGTCAGCAAGATTGCCTGATGTGTTGGAATCCGATGTGAAAAGTAACCGTGGGCTCATAGAGATATTTGAGGACTGGCTGAGACGATTTGAAAGTTGGATGGCTCGGTGCTCCATGTAACGGGCGTATGAAATACTGTGCTGAAAATGATCACCCATGAAACTTTTTGAAATCCGATCTGATACATCTACAGCGGAAGTTGAAATCTCCGGAGAAGAAGGTTCGTTACTGACATTCAAATTGTCGCTAGGCTTGTCGAGTTTTATTTCTAAAGGAGAGCAATGAATGGCGGAAAGCCTTGACCGTGGGAGCAAAGGAGAGCTTTGGAAAGCCGAAGCATCTATTGAGGTGTCAGTATCGGAATCTCTGTGCATCAAATGACAGTTAAAAGACGATGGCTGAGGAGAATGGCCGTTAAGATAAGGCAGACAATTTGGAGTGGAAGCCGAAGGCGAGTGTGGTAGGACGCGCTTGCTGCGCTTCATGTTATGATGCCTGTTTAATGAAAAAGAGTAGCTAAGGCGGAATGATCCAAATAACTGTAGACACAAATTCCAGTAAACGCACTCGAAAAACAAATATCAGCAAAAAATTAAATAAGACTAATTTTGACTTACACTTCAAGTATGCACAAGGGTAAGAAGCGCAAAAAAGGGGATGGGCAAGACGCATGCACCAGGGAATACACAATACAATTAGGGCGGCAAGAGCAAGCGCCGATGCTGGCGTATTAAATTAAACAAAGCAACGTAAAAACGGTTATCTAAGAAGATCAA